CTGATAGGCGAGTATGAGTAAACTCCGTGACCGGAATGTGCGGATTCAACCAATAGTAGACTTACAGAAGAGGTCAAATTCAGTGCTCTTTTAAAGCCTTCTTCCCCACAGACGCTCAAAAGAGAAGCTTTGGCGCCTTTCATTTGATCGCAGTACTTCATGATGACATCCGACTCAGCCATTGTCTTACCTCGATATAGTAGTAGTGGAACCTTGCCGACCGGATACATTTTCAGATACCAGCTGGGCTTGGACATGAGATCGATTAATATGCGGTCGTATCTGCGGAGGAACAACACTAATTGTAACGCCGAATCGGATATTTTTATCAGGTAAAACAACTGTTTTTGGCTTTTAAAATCAGGATTTCGAATAGAAGGTAAACGCATTGTTTGCTAGAAGAGTTTTAAGGAATTTTATGACAAAACATCTGCTTATGATCTTTGTCTGCCATTCTGTGGATAATTTTTGAGATGGGCATGGATTTTACGGGGAAGAATATTGTACCGATGACTCATATGACACCCTAAAGAGGACATGGCAAGGTGGATGCCCATTCTTAGTAAGAAGAATATCCCATGTGAAACCCCAATGCAAAGCATTAGGCAAACGTGAGCAATAGCCCGAATATTTTAACTCCAACCCTAACCATAAGCCTTATCCTACTTCCCCGGACCTTAGCTCATAGACATTTGCAGTGTGTGAGCTTCCTGTTTCCGGGGCCTGCTAATGGGGCCGCATAAGTCATTCTCGGCGAAACCATGAGCGACACAGCCAAGTAAATGAAACACTGAACAAAAATGCACAAAACTACATGTTCCGATTAAACGTCACATATTTCTTATAACTGCATATAAGAAGGACGCTCAACGTTATTGTAAGATAACTACGTTTAGGAAAGCGGTCGACTAGAGGGTAAATCACTACTACAACAGTAACTACAGATTTGAAATCGTAGAGCGCGTTTGGTGATCGGGAAGTAATCGCTGGTGGATCTACCATTTAAGATTTAATTACTGTACGTGGTAGAAGTAGGCATGTTATGTTTGAAGTAACTTATGTTTGGGGTTCAGGGTTAACATTGGCTTTTAAGTCTAATGTAAGCACTAGGAATGAAGCTAGGGGTGAATCATAAGCTTTATCGTTTAGCCTTAGGACTAGAGGATATGGAATATAAAGTAATGGGTACGGTTAGATTTAAGTTTTGGTTTAAAGCTTAAGATTATAGGTAGGCCTTAGGAGTACAACTTAGGGTTGGGGCTTATAGTTTCAGTAGCTAGTTGCTGCATTCGGCAATCCGTTACCTGTAACGCCCTGAGGCTAGCCCTTCGGCTTCTGTGTCTCAAGTCCGTTTACTTCCCACTTATGCATCACCATTCGATTTTCGTGCCCCTTTCATCAGACCAAACAACATTCCGGGTTATCTTGTTATTTCTAGTCTTTCTTTCCCAGACCCCTTTTCTACCGTCAGCCGTTGCTCCACCCGTAAAATCCTCGTTGCTGCCAGTCCCGTAATACTGTATGTTACAACAATGAGTTCAAGTTTAAGCGCCTAAAGAGTGTTAGTGAGCGGGAATGCACCGCTGGTATGTTTTAAACATTACTTATTTGGTTAAAGTAGACATGCAATGTGTAAGTTCACATATGTTCGGTCGGTACAGTTTGGGTTGGGGTTCACGCCACCAATCCCCTATTACAGGGAATCTTGGTTTGGGATTGCTCATTGGAGCTACATCTTTAGTCTAAGGTTTCGGCTTGTCTGGCTGGGCGCAATATTACCGACATGGCTGGGGCACAAGGCTGCAATTGTGTGACCACGGCATATATGTGTTGCAGTATAAAAAACAATTGCCTTAAGTTAGAGGTCAGGAACTGAGTTTCGGGTTGAACGGAAGATTCGTCAATTAGAGCACCGTTTCACCTAGAAAAACAGATGCATTTGACCTAAAGTTCTAGTAGATGGAATCCGTTCATTTAGGCATCACTTAAACCAGAAATGCCCATTCCAGTCTCCACTGTCATTGCCGGCAATATTATGTGCCTGCTACCAGCTGTTACGGCTGTCAGGGCCTCTGTCGAGGCCCAAGGCAATATGCATCGTTAGCGGTCAGGTGAACTTTCATCAACAAACTTGCGGTTTATTTACAGGAAGCAATCTGATATGTTGATTAGCTTTTTAAAAAACCTCAAATGACCTGTAGGCATAGCATAGCCTACTCCTTTAGTTTAAGCAGCAGAAGATAGAATAGGATTTTCGAGATCTTTAAAATGGATGTTCTGGCTTAAATAGTTACCCTATTAGCCTAGATGGATAGATGAATAAGTACGAATTTGATCCTGGAATATTCAAAAACACGAATAACCTGAATATAATCAATACAATGACGAGCCGAAATCCTTCCACGCATCATTAAAAAAGTATGCGAGTAGTAATTGTAATAGGTTAAACGAGGAAGCTGGTGTAAAAGCAAATAGGCCGGATGATCAGCCAATTAGGTTACTAACTGCCCTGTAGATAAGAAACTTTAACTCCATTCAGTTAAGTTGAGAACCCCTAAATAAATGATCTGTTTGGATAGAGAAACGAGATTACAGAAGGAGAATGCTTTCTTACGGTATTTTATGGTAGTCGAGCGTATACCGTACGCGTTGGCAGTAGGGACAAAATTGCATGTCGTACAATGTGACATTTTCCGGGTTAACGGAAGGTTCGGGATCACCTGAAACGGAAGGGCGGCAATGGGATGAAACTTCCAAGACTTCTTACATACCACTACATTCATT